TATTTTTTTTGAATAATTCTGTGAGCTGAAATTTTAATTTAAATTGGTAAATAATAAGTTGTTTGCTTTGAAAAATAAACACGTCCCCATTCATTGATATATTGGAAAAGAAAAGAACGTGTAATTTATTGGAAACTGTTTTATTTATTACTGAAAACCTGAACTGAAATTAAATTAAATGACTTGTCTTTTATTAACTCGTTTGAAAAGGTTATTGAATTGAATGAGAGAAGTATTCCTAAAGTAATTAAATTAAGAAAAATTATTTTTTCTATATAAACATTGAATGAAAGACAGATTCATTAATGGAGTATGAATTCTATTTTCTATATAATTAATAATAATGATTTTTTAATAACCCTCTTAAGTTAATTATAAAAAAATTAATTATAAAAATTTCAAAAATTGATACGAATATTAAATATGTAAAAATGAATAAAATTAATAAGGTTCCTCCACTCATTTATTTTCGTTTCCCTACCTCACACCTGTGTCAGAAAATAACAACTCATTATCCTCATTTCTTACACCTTCCCACATCCCACTCTACAAATCAACCTTCTTGATCTCCACTTTTTCACCAATCATACTATTATTTCAAACCACCGATATACAAATTTAAAAAAACCACAAAGTAAATCAGTCAATTTTATCGCTTGTACCAACAAACACCTCAACCGATCAAACCACTGATAATGATTCACTGATTGTCAATATCATATCTATCAAATTTACCACTTCAACCAATCTCATTTAATTCTTATTCTAACCAAATAAGTCATATCATCATTACAAAAACTGAGTTCTATTTATTTAATTGCTTAATTTTATAAAAAATAATTTGATCTATTATTTTTGTAAGTTGAATTAAAACATTAAAATTTATAATTATTCCCATGAATACTAAATGAGCAATGAAAATTCTTCAAAAATAGAAATGTAATTAAAAATATCATCAACTGAAATAAAAAATCCTAGAATCTACATTTTTGTTTGTCAATTTAATGAGAACACTCCCTTTAATAAAAGATAAAAAATGATATAGAAAAAAGCAGAAAAAAAAATTATAGAAGCAATATTTTGTTTTTACTGGCATGCATTTTGCCAGCATCACCATGTCGTTGGACGCTCGCGACCCTCCAAATGGCAGTTAACGCCATGAGGACAGATTTACCACGAGGATCCCTAGAGACCTGTCCTCGTGACTGAATGTACCCTTGGGTACGTGTACGTTCATACATGCGAATCGAGAAAATTTAGCAGCCCCTTTGGTTCACTATCCCGTTTGTATCCCGTCGCTGTACAAACCCTTGTTGAAATGATGCTCGCATGCGGTAACGAGTGTCCATCAGCGAGTCCTCGTTATGCTTTTAATCGTTTCATCAACTTGTTGTTATCACGCGCACGGGACGCCATTTTTATACTGGGAATGATGCAATGTGTCTACCAAGCTACCACTGCTGTTGGGAATTGCGAATAAAAATTGAACGGACAATAGTAAATATTGAGAGGGTAGATCTGCATTGTTTGCTTCAATCCGCTCTCTGAGAGATTTATGTATATTTTTATCTCAATACTTTATATTGTTTTTTTTTTTTAAATATTTTTCAACATTTGTTTGTTCCGGGATTTTCGGAATTGTGTGTGATATTCATCGTTACACGAAACGCGAGAAAGGAATATAAAAGAGAAATGAAGAATGAATTCATTTTTCTAGAAAATAATCCTTGAGAGAATGTCATTTAAATTCAAATGAAAAGAAAAAAGGAAAAAATTAACAAGGGAAAAGCTTGTAGATTTTATCGTGTAAAATTATGTCTTTATTGGGTAAAACAATCATCTTAATAGTTTTCTCATGAAAAAAATAAACCCGCAGGTGTTTGAAGAAAAAATTATGTATTTCAAGATACTTTTCTCTGTAAAAGAGAAGAAGAAGCAGAAGAAGATCAGAAATAGACTTGGAGGAATAAACGAGAGGTTGTACGACGTGTTGGAATTGTATACATTGTATAAGGAGCAAGTTGCTCATTATTCACTTCAACCTCTCTTCGTCGTTACAGATCGCGATTGGGACGAAAGGTCCGTCGTTACCCCCGTTTGTTTTTTGTGGTCAGTACCAGACATTTTGTCTACCCAACCCGCTTGATCGTAAATCTGTATGCCTTTTCACCTGTACCGTTATTTTTTCGTGCCTCTGTGAATTCTGATTTCTCCTTCAGAAAAATACCCTTGTATCATAGATGTAGATATAACTCTTGAGATTGATGAGATTTCTGTTAATTGTTTAGTTTTACAGGTCATTGATGAGAATTGGGAATCAATGTGACTAATGGTTTTTGGTGGCCTTGGAATTTTAAAGAACAATGAGAATACGGTCACCAACATGAAAGTATCTTCTCAGAGGGGGTGCACTTGAGCTACAGTAAAAGAAAGTAATGTTCCAAATCACAGAGACCGATTGACTTGAACGCATTTGTCGTGGTTGAGGGTGCGGCATAGTTTTAGGCTTCACAGGAGGTAAGGAACAATTTTTCTAGTGGTCCATTGTCAAGGGAAACATTTAGGAGAATGTCACTATGGCTCGTGACACGCACGCGTATTTCTATTATAGCAAATAATTTTTTTTTTTCAAAATTTTGTAATTAGTTGAGGAAGGGCAGTTAAGTGGAGATTTAGAGAGGAAAATAAATTAGGGGATGAAGGGTTAATTGGTTTTTCACTAGAGTTGTCATTTTCTAGGGTTTCAAGTTATGAATAAATTATTCATCTTATTTAAAGTCATTGTGACGTGCTTTTTAAAATTTAAAATTGAAAGATTGTTAGAAAAAAACTAAACTTTAATAAAATTAGTTGGAATAAATAATAATTATTTGAGTTAACCATTGATTAGATTTTAATGGTCGAGAATTTATGATTTTTTAAAGAACAGATTATAGTGATGGTCAATTTGATAAACATATTATTTTCTTTCACATTCACCCACAAATATAATTCAATTGGAATCATCATGGAAACATAAAAATGCTTATGATAACAACGATATTTAGTACATCGTTATCTAAATGAAAATTAATCATCATTTGTCAGAATTGTTATACAATGCAGTAGGCAAGAGGGGATCATAAAGTCGCGATATTTCTTAATAGAGCTGACGATAACATCACCCCCTATTATGAATGCATGAGGATTCGTGCGTGTCTACCATACACTTTTGCTTATTTTTTTCTCTCATTCTCTCTCCAACGAAGCTACTTTCTCTAGTAATAAATTAAACGATAAGAGATGTCAGAGCTTAAACGTAACCCTTTATAATACATGACGAGCTTTTTTTCTCCTCTTTCTCTCCGTCTTTTTATGTATACAAACTTCAATGGAAAAAAATTCTTATTTGAATTATTAAAATGAAGTGCAAAAGTCAATTAACATTGTTAAGACATTTATAAATAATAACGTACTGCATTGTTCGACTCAATGCTAATTAATAAATATTTTCATCTTTAGCTGCTTTTTATCATGTGCATCAAATATAAAATTAAAGTTTATACTTCCAGATACCAAAATATATGCAAAAGCATGAATAATAATTTGTTTTTATCAACCGTTAAGTCAATAAAAAAAACTTCATTTAACTCAAAATAAAAATTATTTGTTCATAACAAATTAATTAATTCAATTGTTATTACGATTCTGAAGTAAAGGTTGTAGGTCATTACCTGGTTTTTATTTCCTGTAGACGAGTTGAATTTCTGGCGCTTAATTGGTCGCTATTTATGTCCACATTTCCAACTTATAAAATTTTTATAGCCATTCTATTCATAGATGTTGGAGAAAGACGAAATAAGTATCACTTAATTTCATAATGATTCCTGAAACATAATTCATAACTTAAGTTAAAAATAAATAAAAGTAATAAAAAAGAATAATGATAATTCAGAATAGTTGTCAAACTATTAATATACCTTTAAGACTTCAATTTAATATTTAAAAAGGTGTCATTTAATACACCATAGTTCATTGAAAATATAATTTGAATATGAGTTAGATCCGCCATGGTTTTGAATCACCATTTTCTACATGAGACGACAGATAGGATTGTTATTCATATAACCGAGGTATTCACACCCTAATCGAAATGACGAGCGCCATTAAATCGGGCCGCGCCTTAATAACCGGGAACAATGTTCCTTGTGGTGATTTGTCATGTAGGAATTGAGTTGCATGGAGTGAGAGATGGTACAGTAGCATCTGTAGCTCTCCAACCCCACAGTTGAGTCTCACCCCTATTGTTCAAGCAAGTTTGGGACGATTGCTTGCACACCATCATGGCTGCTAATCATTAATATATGACTGGCAGTGCCATTGTTGCGAATTAGGTAGCATTGAGGAGTCCATTGTCGAGGTCAACAGGGGGTTATATGCTCTCTTTTCCATCCTATAAAGAATTGTCGCGTGTTTGTTCGTCCCTACAATCAACCACGTTTTAATAAACTGAACAAACTTTTGCTTAATCGACTGGAATTGCTATTTATTACATTTACTTTGAGTAGAATCGTTTTAAATTTGATTGACCTTTTTAATTATTTCTACTAGTGGTTATTTTTAATGAGATTATCATTGTTTTGATCGATCATATCAATTAAATAGGAAAACTTGTTACGAACGCCACAGGCGGTTGTTTTGATTATCTTATCTAATACGTTGTAAGTAAAGCTTTATTTTAAAATATTAGATAATACTTAAATTGATAACTAAATAAAATCTATCACACACTTAAAATTATTTATTCTCTTAACTTTTAACTTTGATATTGCACACTGATTGTTTTCAATTATTTCGCATTTGGTCAACTGACGCCGAAAATTTACAGTGGTGCGCCATCTATTTCTGAGAATTGAAAATAAAATGAACAAAGAATTTCTCTGTCGGTATTATAACCAATGATTGATAACTCATTCTGCAGTAAAATGTGCATAATTCCGGCGCCATTTTTTTTTATTCAAGTGTGTTGGAGTTGTTTGGGTTTTTGGGTAAATCATGTGCGAATTTTTTCAAAAAAAATCATGTGATTATTAACTCCACTATTAGAAATTATTCAACAATTGTAGACAGTAATGGCGTCTGTGCAAGATCGTAAGTTTTTATTCATTTATTTTGCTCTTTCTTGAGTATAATCGAATACATACATAGGTTAAGAGGTTATGTTTTGTAATTTGTTTTGATACATGACAGACATTGATGATAATAGTAATTAAATTTTTTAATGACAGGATTAAAAATACGGCGAGAAAATGTAGCTGCGTGGAGTACGAGAGAGCAATTATGTTTAGCCTCGAGTGTATTGAAATCTGGAGATCAGAATTGGATAGCTGTTTCGAGATCATTGAGACCTTTCGCTGAGAAAGACGTTTTGAGACCAGCGGATTGGTTTTCTCAGAAATCTTGTGCTATTCAGTATGCTCTTCTTCTGGAAAATGCAGACACCCCAAAAAGAAAAAAAAGAGAAAGTGGAGAAACAACGGGTGAATCGATTGTGAAACGTTTAACACAAGAACGAATAGCAGAGCTTGGGCAAATATTAACACTTCAACGAGACGAATATAAACAATTGAAATCAGATTTAAATCTGCTTAAATCTGGTCCTATAAACGATGATAAATTACAAAAAATGTGGCTTGCTATTGAGCAAGAGGAAAGAGAACAAGAACAGAAAGCTAAAACACACAGTGTATGGTCAATTAAACGTCCACATAAACAAGAAACCCTATCTCAAGCTACACCAACTACACCTAAGAAAATTAATGACAATAATGAGTCTCAAGAGACTATTGAAACACCAATGGAAGTAGATGACGATAAAAAAACTCAACGAGGACAATCTACATTACTTACAACATTGTTAAAATCACCCAGCCCAACTACACAAATTCAAAATACAACATCAACAGCTCAAGTGACTTCTCCAACTATAGCAAGTCTTCTCGGATCAAGTTCTAAAATAATTACGACTTCACAAACTACTACGAATGTTACACCACAGCTTCATCAACTCGTCTCATGTGCAATGTCAACTGGAACTTCTGAACGACCATCTGCAGGTGCTCCAACATTATCTATGCTTTTAGCTTTACCAGCAAATCTATCAAAAGGTATTTTGCCTAGTTTACCAAATACTACATCTCAAAATTCTTCTATAGACTCTCCTAGTACTCCTACATCTCTTAAACAAATCAATCAAAATTGTTCTACAGTTCAAAGTACTGCTGAAACTTCTGAATTACCTGAAGCTGAGAGTATGGTGCAGATTATAGATCATATTGATGGAGTTATTGGTAAGGATAAAATAGCTGATGTCATTGATAAGGATGAAATTAATGAGATCATCGGAGATATTGAAGAATTAATTAAAGAAGAGATTACAAGAAGTCCTCAGACAACAGAAGCTTCAACTCCAGTGGTTATAGAAACATTACCTCTCCTACCAGAAAAAACTATTGAACCCGAACAACCTGAATCTGAGAGTATTGATGAGCCGGTTTCATTACCTAATTCTCCAGAAAGTGAAATGGCCATTGAAGAGATTGATCACAGTACGTCAAATATTGCAGAAATTATTGGCACTGCTATTGAACCTGTAGAAACTAAATCTGATGTTCCAATAACTTCAGAAAATGATTTATTTACAGAAGATAAGTCTGAAGAGGATCAATCAGTAGAAATTGAAATAAAAACTGAAGAAAAAAATATTGCAACATCTATAGAAAGTGTTTCTGATTCAACAGAGGTGAAAGAAGTAGACGAGAAAGTAGAAGAAAAAATTATTGAATCCGAAGATACCGAAGAGATTTCTGAAGTTCAGTTGAAAGATGTAGAGACACAGGAAAGTAAAATAGAAGTAGTCGTTCCAGAAGAAAATGACGAAAAAGTTGTTGAGAAAAAAGAAATTATTGAAAAAGAAGAACAGACATTTATTGAAGAACATGACGAATCTGATGACATATTGTTAAAGCTTGATGAATCTGATGAAAATAAGAAGGCTGAAGAAATTTCAATTTCATTAGATAAAGAAGATGTCGTAGAAAATAAAGAACAAGTACAAGAAGCAAATGAAGAGAATAAAGGTTGTATTTTAGACGCTATTGATATGAAAAATGAAGAAACAGAAGGGCCAAAAATTGAAAAAATGCTAGAAGTAGAGGAACAGACAATTGAGAAAAAAAGTGTTCCTGAACCCATTGAAATATTGGAAATTCCACAATCAAAAGAAGAAGAACGAGAGGAAAAAGAGGAAGTATTACTTGATACAGAAAAGCCAGTCGAAGAAAGCAAAATGATAATCGAAGAAAATGAAACAGTTACTGAAATAGTAGAAGAAAAAATTGAAGAATCTAAAGAGGAAGTCACAGAAGTCATCGAAGATGTTAAAACTGAGGTTACAAAAATTGAAGAGAAAAATAATGAAGAACCAGAATCAGCTCCGGCTGTCTCTGAAGTCTCAGACGTCAAGGAAGATTCCACAGAAAAGGCTCAAGAAGTTACGGAGGTCAAAGTTGAAATTGAAAATAACACTGAAGAAAATGAAACAAAAAATGAAGAGGCAGCTCCACTAAAAGAGGAAATAATAGAAGAGAAATCTGGCGAAGCAGAAGAGGTTCAAGAAGAAATGAAAGAAATCAAAGAAGAAAAAATACAAAAAGAGATGGAGGTAGAAGAAAAAGTTGAAGAAACAGAAAAGAAAAAGGAGCCCGAAGAAGTTGAAATGAAAAAAGAAGAAACGAATACCACAGAAGATGCCGATGCTGAAGAAGAAGAATCTTCGTTAACTAAACTTAGTGGCCGTGCAATGAAGACTTATTCGAAGAAGTATAATGTTGCAGTTGACAGTGAACCTGAAACGGAAAGTAGTGAAGGAGCAGATTATCGTGCCTGGAAAAAAGCCGTGATGGTTGTTTATAATAGATTAGCAACACATAAATATGCTTCTGCCTTCCTTCGACCAATCACTGAAGATCAAGCCCCGGGTTATCATTCTGTTATATTTAGACCCATGGATTTATCAACTATCAAGAAAAATATTGACAATGGAACTATTAGGTCGACCATGCAATTTCAGCGAGATGTTATGTTGATGTTTCAAAATGCCATAATGTATAATAAACATGACACTTTTGTTTATCAAATGACAATGACAATGCAGGAAGAATGTCTCCAGCACATGCAGGTAATTACTAAAACTGATTAATTATGAATAATTTGCATAAATATATGTGGTCATATTTTATGTTAATTTAGATTCTTGTACAAGTAACGGGAGAAGGACCTTTTAGAAGAGAAACAAGGACAGCAGCGAGTAGTAGTAATGATTTAAGTGAGACTAACATTGTGAAGAGAAAACGGAGTCATATTACCCCTAGTCCTCATGACTCTGAGAGTCCTCGAATGAAGAAGCGCAGGAAATCTGAAAATGACTGATTTTATTATTAATTATTACTTACCGATAGTCTTTTCCATTAAAATAACTACCAGTCTTCAATCTCTTCAATGAATATTAGTTTTTTGTTTTTACTCCTACCGGCAGCATAATGTATTCATAAATTTCACGTAAAATTTACAAGTTCCATTCCGTCATATATCATAATATTTTCTTAAAATTATAATTAAAATAAGTTACGATTTAGGAAATTGAATAATGATTGGCAATACGGAGGATGAAACAAATAATTCTCATTTGAATTCCATTTCATCTCTTGAAACATGTAAACGTCACTCCAACAAAAACTGTGATAAAACTGTAAGGTTATCATCAACAATATCTACATGTTACAATATTTTTTGTAATGTTTCTTATTAATCGATGTAGGAGACGTCCTTTCACACTACTTTGGATGACGGTGATGATCAATGTTGGGCCGAAGATGAAATGAGTAGTGGTGAAACTCAATTACATGTGGTAAAACGAAAACGTCGTCATAGTGTGGCACATAGAAATTTAAAATATAATAAAAGGTCACGAGAAAAACATATGTCAAGTTCTAGTGATTTTTCGAGTTCCAAAAATGCTTTTCATAAACCTAAAAGACCGAGAAAAAAGAAAAAAATATCTAATAATGATAGAGCTACGACGTCTCGATTATCAACTAGCGATTCCAGAAATATTTCCATTAAATCTCAACGTGGTTCTAAATTTAGATTTTTTAGTAATAAAAAGAAATGAACTCTTGTTTTAATAATTAAGTAAATTAATATTTAAACCTACTTTTTTACTTAATCTTTTCAATAATATCCAAATTGTAATTAGATAAACTGTAATTAATCTAGTTCAAGTAAAAAAATCTTAAAACTGAAATCATATTTTCACATCCATAAAAACAAAATTAATCTTGTTATATTAATGAAGCTGTATATGATAATTGTTCAAGCTTAAACAAAAACTAAGTATTTCGTTTTGTCATTTTATACCATATAATTTAAAGTAATGATAGACAAATAATACGAATTATTAGCACCATTATCGTCATGCTCGACTAATTAGCAGTTATATAATTTGTGATAATTCTCCAGAAAAATTATAATAACTTTTCCTCACACTAACTACAATAATCAGACAATTGGAGAATAAAAGAGTTTCAATTGCTAGAATTCGTACAAGTGTCTGGCCTTTAAGCGTAGGACAATAAAAGTTTTATGCTTTGAAAATGTTATATATTGTACTGTACCTCTCAATCATATATGATTTAATTGTATATCCGTCCTTGCAAAGTCATACTCACAATTCAGTCACGCTAAGCTCCAAGTATCTGCTAGATGTTTTTATTTCCATTAGGATTTGAGTTTTTCTTCAGTCTAAAGTCAGCAATCTAGTGAACTGGGAAAACTCCAGCAATATTCAAATCTAATTCAAGTAACGTTTAGTATATTGCTGAATTACATTGAATAATTATCATAGAAGTTGTTATAATAATTAATTCCACAAATATTCCAGATATTTAATCATGGCTTTGATTCAAATGAAAACTGTTGAAGAAGAGAAGCAAAAGAATCCAGAGTTGAAAGATTCTGATATCCAAATGCTAAGGGAATGGTGTCAAAAGCAGCCTCATTTGCCAAAGATTACAGATAGTGAATTGGTTCTATTTCTTCATAGTAACTATTATCGTCTTGAACCAACTAAAACGACTATTGATACCTTCTATACATGCAGAACTCATGTGACAGAGTTTTTTGCTAACAGAGATCCTCTGGGAAACAAAGATCTTCGTCGAATGTTCAAAACAGCGTAATTATTAATTCATTGATGATATTTATATTATTAATATTGATATTTTTACATTGAATTAATTTCAAAATATTTTTAGTGCTTATATGCCATTGAAAGGTGAAACACCAGAAGGGTACAAAATTATATTTGCCCGATTAATTGACTATGAACCTTCAGCATATGTTTATAATGATGCAATCAAATACTGGAACATGGCGATGGATCTTTGGATGTATACTGAAGGAACCATGCAGGGTCATATTATTGTTGTCGATTTAGCTGGTCTATCTTTCGGTCACACAACTCGACTTAGTCCGATGGGATTGAAAAAATTCTTGTTCTACCTTCAAGATGGTCTACCAGTGCGTCTAAAAGGCATGCATTTTACCAACTCAATTCCGGTTATGGAAATTATACTGAATATGATGAAGCCATTTATGAAAAAGGAACTCATGGATATCGTACGTACAATGAAAATATTTAATTATTTTTATAAAATAATCTCATCACTTTATTCGATGGGTTAATATTAAATAATTTTGCAGTTATTTGTACACTCAACATTGGAAACTGTTGCAAAACATTTTCCAATTGATTTGTTACCCAACGAATCAGGTGGTAAGGGTGGATCATTGATGGAACTACATGAAGCACATCTTAAACGATTAGAATCATATCGTGCTTGGTTTCTTGAGGAAGAGGCTAATCAGCGCGTTAATGAATCTCTTCGACCTGGAAAGGCAAAGAATATAACCGATCTCTTTGGCATTGAAGGTAGTTTTAAGAAAATCGACATTGATTGATCAATAAGAATAATTTTTAAATAATTATCTTTGAATGATTATCATAGACATAGACGTAGGTAAACTAGTGGGATGGCTTATTACATAGTTTAAGAATATTTTGATTTATAATAAACGATTAATATTGATATATCCTGCTACCACTTTTCCACCTGTGTCATGATCGTATTTAAATGAATCATCTCTTACGTAAATTTCCAACAATAATCATGGCCACTTATAGCTTTTAAGTATCATCATGCAGATGTTAAAGGTGCGTTCACGCCGTATATTTTATTAAAAATAATATGGAAATTAATTAATTAAATATTGATATTTTTACGTTGTATACCTAATAAAGGGATGATGAAAATAAAGATGGACTGGTTGATTTTTGGTATAATTATTGTTTTCAAAACAATATTTTGAAATATTGTGTAATAAAATGTTGAGAAAGCTGCTTAAGCCTCAGACTACGTCTTATAATACTTTCACTATCGCGTATCCTCTCAGTAGGACATTGAAACGTCTAGAGGTGAAGTTGACACGCTGAAAATATCAATAAGGTTCCGGAATGTTTCAGTTTTCGTTTTTGTTTATATTTGTTCTTTCCCTGAGTAATCAGTGTTTTGGTGATGTTTCTCATATTGTCTCTCAATATCAACCACAAGAAACAACTACCATTCCACCACCGCCAGTACCATACAGCTTTCATTACAAAGCTGGAAGATTTCCTGGACAAATTGATCGATATCGATCAGAGTCTGGAGATGGTTCAGGAGTAATTCATGGTACAATTTTTTACAAACTTCTTTTCAACTTAAAGTCATTCCTAAAACTAAACAATATCATTTTTTTAGGCACTTATGCTTACATTGATCCTAAGTTTAAGATTAGAACAGTTGATTATACAGCAGATAAAAATGGTTTTCATCCAATTCTAAAAAATTTTGAAGATGTTCAAAAACTTCCTGAGGATTCAGAAGCAGTAAAATTGGAAAGAGAAAAGCATTTCCGACTCTATAATAAAATTGCTAGTGCTCAAGCCAACCCAGGGAATGCAGATCAAGTCTTACCAAGGGTATTAAAAGTTATAAAAAAGTTGAAATAAATATAAATAATATTTTTTATTTATCATATCTATGTTTGATCAGGAAACATATAGTGTAGCCAAAGCAAGAAATCATCATATGGAACTCTTTAGAAAAATAGCAGCTGAACATGAAGCAATTGCAGCTCAACGAGAAGCAGCTCGGTTGGCTTACGAAGCAACATCAGTACCCAACATTGTTGAAGAGCCAGTTGTTTATTATTAACTTTATTATACAATAAATATCTCATCGTGATTTTATTTTGATTTGTTATTCACGAGAGACTAATCGAAGAATCTATCTATAGCAAAATAATGAAGGCTCATTCAGAATTTATATAACTACTGTTGATTGTATCAAATCTTAATTATTACAGACACAATAAATTTTTATTAAAAATGAAAATTACTCAAAAATAGATGATACTTATTTTATTATTTCTAATGCTAGTTATACTATTTTCATTGTTATGATGAACTTGAAATAAACTTTTTAATAATCAGTGAAAAGTCTTTTAGTAACATTGTCCTAATCATGAAAGTAATATACGTGTAAGTTGTATCATCATTATTAATAGCATCATCTTATACAACTTGAAAGCATAGATAAAAAAAAAATAAAATCAAAATCGTATATTATTCACATAATTATGTTTTATATTTTTTATTACTCCGGAAGCTTGATATGACGTTTCGATGGTAGATAGATTAAACAATATTTTTAATGTAATATAGTTGAAAAAAGAATAAAATCATTTGTAATGAACAATTCATTTTTAGTTCTCGAAAGCATCATTTGTCCGTTCCAGCATTATAAATTGTAACGAGTGTTAAAAAAATATTTGCTATGGCATTATTACAAACAAGTGTTATTTTTGTTCTTATAAGTGTGTTGGTAGGTTTAAACACTTGTTATCAGTGAAATAGTCGATTTTTTTTCAATAACAATGTGTTTCTTTAGGTCATGCATTGTAACAGCCATCCAATGAAAAGATCAATTGAAAATAAAGATGATACAGTAAGCAGCACTATTGATCCAAACGGTACAGATAAGTCAGTTAGCTCAGATTCTTCAGAAAGTACTTCAAGTAATTCTAGCAGTTCAGATGATTCTGATAGCTCGGATGGTTCCGATAACTCTGATGATTCTAACAGCTCAGAAGCTTCTCATTTTCTTGATAGTTCTGTATATTTTGAAACTACTACAGACGCATCAAATGATGAAGATGATGCAAAGGAAAATGAGGCTGAAACGACAAATGAACCGATTAATTGATAAAAATATAATTTTTAATATCAATGTTTAATCGCTGTAACTAACAAAATTATTCAACGTTAACATTAGCGTTAAAATAATCTATTTTTATAATTGGTTTCCAATTAATTTAAAATAAAATTATCTGAATTATTTCGTCCGTAATTCTATAAATGTTTTTTTTTTGTCATAGATAGTTGATGTATAAATTACATAATTTTTTGTTGTATTAAAGGATGTATAATTGTAGATTAAGGATTTAATATGTTTAAACATTAAATAAATTTTTTCATCCATGTCAGAAGGTTATAACAATTCCATGACAGTACATAAAACAAACTAATTACTACTGTTATTCTTGCTTGAGTATAAAAAGAGTGTATTTTATGTGAATGAATTAGTTCATGGAAAAACTTTGTGAAAGTAACTTTTAAAAAATCCGTTTTATTACCTTGCTTGTGAGACTATGTTATTTGCCAATGTTGGAATATTGCTTCTATTAATTTTCAACGTGATGGTATGTTATTATTCAATTAAAATCTGAATAAAAATACATGCATTGTTTGTATTCATTTAATTTAAACGAGTAAAAAATTTTTAGAAAAAACTTCTCACCAGTCAAGAAATTTTCTTATATCAATTTGTTTCGATCTACAAACAATACAGTCATTCTTTTTTTGTTGTTTAAATTAATAAAAACTTTTAGGCCTTGATTTGTGGACAAAATGTGACAAAGTCCCGTGAAATTGAAAAGAATTAATATGGGTGGACGCCGACCTGGAATACCTGGTCCTTCACGTGGACCACATGGTCGAATTTGGGCAAGAAGAACTCCTGAGACTTCATAGTTGGTTTAAGTAATAATAAAACAAACGTTGCATTCGATTAATAAAGAATACATATGAGTCAAAGATTAACTCTTTCAATGAATGATACACTTGGTTCTGATTTATAAAATTATTATTAAACTTCTTAAGTATGATTCGTTATGAAGAAATGATGTCTATACAACACAATTGAAAATTTTCCAAATTACACTAATGTATTAACAGTAACAACAACATATAGATCATTATTTAGTGACGTTTTTTATTAATTAATCAGTAGATAATCTTGATTTGTTCATCTAATATAACCGGCAGTTTCGTTGAGCTCATAAAATTGAAAAAGTTTCCTGTAAAATTCCCCCTTGGATAAAATACAAAGCTAGATATTGATGCTTTGGTAATATGCAGTTGAATAACAATTTTTTACATAACATATACATATTTGTTATCATAGTGAATAATGTTGATAGATGATTGAATCACAGTGATCACATAAACATATTTGACATAAATAAAAATAAACACATTGGCATGTAAAATAAATCCTTTTATCCAAAAAGCAGAATTCTTATAATTTAAAATTGCTTAATATTTTCTTATAATTCAATAATTCGTGTTTACTCTAAAGGACATGTACATTAGTCCGAGTTTCTATGAATTCAGATTTGATTATTATTTTTCCTATTTTTTTAATAAATATCTCATGTCTTTATTCTGTCTCTCAAGCATAATATCTGCTTTATCAGTTTTAGTTATCACATTTTCAATTAAATCATTTTGGGAATCAATTTCTTCTGACAAACCAATAGCTAAGCCTTTTAGTCGAGCTAACGATCCACTCATTTCATCTAGATTACGTTCTAAAACTTTGCTGACATTCGTAATCGGTGAATCATATTTTTTGTCATCGATATCATCATCTAAAAGTCCTCTACGTTGCAGAGTTGGATGATTTGCTGTTAAAGTTGTTCTAGATTGTTCAATGGAATTATTCAATATACTGCTGCTCGAACCAGAACGTTCACTATCAGGTGATTTACTGCCACTTGTCATGGTAGGCGTTGGAGCATCAAGAGATTTTCTACTAAGATAATTTTTCAAACTACCAAATACACTTTTTATTCCCTGTATCTGTTTTTGGCTGAATCTTAAGGTACTATTTATATCATCTAGCCTTTTTTCTGTTCTCTCTAGCTGTTCCCTTTGTCTAATCAATTCCTAGAACACAATGAGTCAGGTAATTAGACACTAATTAAACTGTACTCAAACTTGAAAACAAAAAATAACAAACCTCAGCTGTCGCAGCTCCAATTTGCTCTGAATCTCTTAATAATGATATGGACCTTTCAGAAGATTGAATAGTTCTTTCTTCAATTGCTTTCTTACGTTCTTCAAGTAATTGGTGTTGTCTTTCAAAGTTATCATCAAAGTTAACATAAGGATTGTTATGAGTGACGTTATTTTGACGTGGAGGTGCACTTCTCAAAAATGTTTCATCATCAATATCATCCTCTAACGAAAAAAAAGGATTTTTCGGATCACTTAAATAATCATGAGCAGCCATTTTTCAATACGAAACTCAAAAAACTTGATTAATTATTCAATGATTATTTTGCAACACTACACTGACAACAAATGCCTTTGACAAAGAAACTGTGATAAAGAATGTTATCAACGGTTCATATTACTCTCACTCTAACCACAAGTCGACTGCTGATTCTACATGAATATTTTATACAAAAGATTAACGATGAAAAATATAGTTATTTAATGATTTAATTTTATCAGTTAACCGTAATTATTGTGAACTAAAGAGTAATTATTCAATTGAAGGAATAAATTCTACCATCTACACAGAAAACTTGGAAGCCGTCTAACGGTAATTACTTCAACTAAAATTGCTTGACAGCGCTCTCTACTTTTTGATTATTTATTTGAATGATTAATTGTCAACATTTTATCAGATCAATTAAAAGTAAATCCGAAAGCGAACGGCTGTATGGAGCCACTGCTCCGATGCCTTAGAATATAATAATAATAATAATAATTAAAAGTAAATCAAAAGCAAACTGGGCAATTATTTAATACAGAAAACAGATATTTTAAAGTTTTTTTATTCAAACTTATATCATAGGTACCTTTATCTTTAGTATATTAGAAGTAATGGTGTTTTTGTCTTCGTACTATAATAGAATAAATTATGTACTAACAAAACCTGCCAATCAATTTTACAATACCTTACAAAACCAAACAATATAAGATAGAAGATTGGATAAAAAAATATCCACAAGTCAACAAAAAAAGATTTATAATCATAATATGAGGAATGTATACGAAATACGTAAGTTGATAATTACTTTCATGAATTAATAAATTACCAACTTATTTACCTGGAATAATTGGCACTAGACTCAACGTTTTATAATTTAATTAACTAATTATATTCTCGTAATAATAAAAATAATAAACATTATCAAGTAGGCATTGAAGCAATGGGCAAAGCGATTAGGCGAAAAATGCCTAAGAAGTAGAGAAATTGTTATTTTATGCTGACTGTATATAAAATATTGTTCGTACTATCATTATCATACATCAGAAAACCCGACCTTTTTTTGGTCGTACATTGTACATTATAGCATTGAGATAATCTCTAAATTTATGAGACAAGCTCTCAATGAAGCTTATGTTATTTAACTATCCAGAACGAAAAAGCAATTCTTTTATATTCGCTCCATCATTATTTTATTACAAAGCCTTGTACAAATTAGTGTCTTTTTATCATGCCCCTGCGTCTTGCACTGGTGCAACAAATTATCTTACCATTTAAACTATTACAATAGCACATTTACACTGTATTTAATCAATGCAATGTGTTAACATAATAATCGTCTAACTTACGGCGTGAATCGTATGTGTGTTTTGTGTTCTAAGAAAAAATACTGTTAGGATTTGTTCAATCTAATGTATAATTGTATAACATGTATTATGTATATCACAATGGTGCAGGCTCTCTGAGCCAAATATGAGATAATGAAGTTCCGCTTTCTTGTTCATCCAACCGTAAGAAAATCGAACAAAACCGATAACCTGACCCCGTTAAAAGCCGATATCATGGCTTTCCCCTTTTCATTCTCATCTCACACTCTCTGTATCTATTTCGCTCTAGCTTTCTCGACTATCAGACAAAACAAACAATAGATGCTCCACTGAACATTAACTGGCTCACTTCGATCAGCTACAGGTACATGAATTAATCGAGAGAACGAAAGCTCATTTATTTTGCTTTTTTAGTTAAACTTACCTTCCGCCTCGATATTGCTAGCGGATTTGTCATTGTATTATATTCATGTTAATTAATTTCAAAAGCAAACGGACTAATCTTCAATCTCTCATTATTTAATTTCATCAATTATACTCTGTTATATCACTCATACGTTTACACTTTACACACGAATTCATACATGATTAGATCATGGAGTGAGAAAGATTGATCAAAAATTCATTGAGTGCATTGTTAACCAGATCATGGAAAAGAGTTTTACAAAGTTATGTAGGTGATGAATATGCATTATTATCGATAGATGTATTTATAATATATATTATATATATATGTATTGTTCTTGCGATAGAAAATTACAGCTCACGCTTAAAGTAGACAACTTTTCGATGAAATAAATTGATTCTGTCCTATTTATTCGTTTTCTATGATTTTTGTATTTATACTATGTTATAACTCAGCTCGTAAGTCACTTGGTGTTTGAAAATCGATAGTTATTGCTGAGATAATGCAGGTATCAAAATAGTTTGCTACGCCATGATCCAGTAAAAAATAAAATAAAGAACTTAATTTACATATTGATTTTTTTTTAGAACAACATACAGTATAAGATTAAGACAAAATGTATGGAAAATTCATTATGCTGTTTAAAATAACTTTTTTACAATGTATTACATTTTTTTTTAAACTTTCGTTTTAGAAAATAATTTCTTTTCTTTCAATTAAATTAATACTCTTGCATTATTACCTTCAGTAACTTTGTTTTTTGTAAATTACAGAGAAAACACCACACACACTGTTCATTGGCCATATTCGATTATGGATGATGTATCAATTGATTGATAATAAAAAAATAAAATAAAAGTAGAGATTTAGGCCTAGAAAGTATAAAATTTAATTTTACAATTGATCTTTATGTTGACTATTTGATGACAATAGAAAGTTGATGATTCACTAATAGATTAATCGTTAACTTCTTAGAAGACAGTAAGTTTTCGACAACTGAGCGTCGTAAAATGCCCTTGGTGTGGTGTAAATGAATGGTGATACTTAATGAATGAGGAGAATATAATAAAAAATTATATATTACGTATGATGAAAGATTAAATTAATTAGCTATCACGTCGTGGCTAGACGTATATACGGCGGTTCCCGGTTTATTCACTGAATTTCAATAGGTAAGGCTAAAAGAAAATCAATGAATACTTAACTTCAAGACTTGGGGCATCATAACTTCGACGTTAGCGCACGCACACTATCAAATCCAATTGTATTCACTTATATTTTTATTTTGATTTCTTAGTATTTCCGATGATGCACATAATTTAACGACACGATCAAGTGTGATACGTTTCTCTTTTTAGCTTTCCATTTTTGTTTTACATGCATTTGCATATCTGTCTGTGATTTTTACTTCTATACAAGCTGTGCACGTGTACTTCTATGGATGTTACATGTACTCCCTCTCGAATCAGTCGATTGTGACTATCGTCTTTCCACGAACAGCCGGACATATTCGCACGCCTTAATTTAAGGCCGTACTCAAAATTCACGTTAGTATATAGCGTTGAATAATCTACAAAAAAAACACTGTTATTTAATTAACTAAATATTTATTATCCAATCAAAGTTTCTTTATTGGTAAGATCAATTATACCTGCACACAAATGTGCTAGAGTTTGTCTTGAAATAGGAAGAGATTATTTGTAGCTGCAACTGCAACTACATTTTCCGATGGGTGCCATGCAGTGTGCAATATTTTTTTATTAAAGTCTAAACAATCGACACTTATTTCATCCTTCTTTCGTTTACCTCCTGTACATACCTGCAAAATAAAATGAACAAATAGTAACTCACAGTTAGTATTTATATAAAAAGTACTGAATTTAGATCGAATTATTTTAAAAAATTACTTTGCGTGGCTTCAAGAGCGTTTTTGGTTTAGCTATGTCACGCGCTGCCTCTAGCGTTAAATCACGCTTTGTTGTTCGGTCAAAAACACGGAAGAAGTTATTGTAAGAGCCTGTCATTATTGCCGAATCATTACCACTCCAGCAGCATTCAAATTTGTCAAAAATGCAGTCATTTTCATAAAGTGAGCACAACTTTGATCTCAAATATTCATGTACCTGAAAGCAAAACAAATAAAAATCATTGGATTTTGTCTTTCATCCAAGCTTAATGTTTATCAAAAAAAATAACATCAATAAATAAAACAAAGCTTACAGGATAACACTCTATAGGTTTCGTCTCCATGTGAAGATCCCACACTTTGACACTGAGGTAGTCTCTGCTGATCATATAACGGCCGGAATTGCTTAACTTGATATCGCTTATACTAGAAATAATTTCAGAAAAAAAGCTTCTATTTGTTGGATCTTCTGGTTCTTCAAAAAGCTTACTATGACGATCGCATAAAGCAGCTGATCTCATATCACATAATCTTATGGTTCCCTTGCTACTACTGTAAACCAATAGATTACACTCAACAGGATGAAATTCTGCCGCTGTTATGACCTCCGTAAGCTCCTCCATATTGGCTGGCTTAATGTCTACTATGTTAAAACTCTGATCGGTAATCTCAAGATGCCATAGATTAATTCTAAGATCATCAGCACTAAGGTACGTCTCTTGATCACTGTTGACACTTATACTGTTTATATGGTATGTATGTGCATTAGCGAATATTCTTCTTGGTGAAGCTTCGACCATTAGTTCCATTGGTTTAATAGTTGGTACCCTCAAGGCAGTGATACAAGCAGGATCACGTATTGCTCCACTTTCCTCCTTTGTATTATATCCTTCCACCCTTTTATCTCGTTCACTAACTTTCCAAAGTTTGATTGTTTTGTCATTTGTTGACAGTAAAAAATGCGCTGGATTTTTGCGTTTTAACCATCTAATTTTATTTATTTTCTCCTCGATTTCCAGTGACTTAAGGTAATCAAATTCCGGCTCATGACTTTGAAATGTGCTATACACGTTGTACTCTCCTCTTCGTGGTATACTATTTTTACTCTAAATGAACATAAAATAAAAAGAGAAAAACTTAAGAAATATTGCATTCAATAAATGACATTGGTATTTTTTATTTGAATACAAGAAAACTTACAATGGGATCTCGTTGAAAAATAACAACTCGCCCGCCTTTGTCTCCTGTCGCAAGGAGATCGCCATCATGATTAAATTCCACACAAGAGATTATATCAGCTGGAAATACAATCAATGTACATGTTTATTACACATTACTCCAAAGAAAACAAAAGATATGTTATCAGTTAAAATTTCAATCCAGGATTTAAATAAGAAATCAGATGGTTTTATTCCAGTCAATTATGCATACCGTCTATCATTATTTCGAGAATATTCTAATGCAGTTTTATCTGAAAATATTATTTAGAAATCTGAATGGAATTCAAACTGATAGTATATTTTCCAGTTATATAAAAAAGTTTTCTTTATAACTGTTTTTTATTTTTTTGTAGTTTAAAGGTTAACGGCACACTTTTTATGATCGTTAACAGACTGGACTCATTAGTAAATTAAAATTTATTGTAGGTATAAATAAATCAAACTATTAAACAAGGTCATTAGTATTATTGTGATAATAATAGTTGTCATGACAAGATATTGAAGGAATGTGCGCATAAATTTGATTGAGCAAAAATAATTGAGTTCTCACCATCAGTGACATCATCTTCTAGAGTTCCCTTCACTTGAGAGAAACACCACTGTATGTCACCATTACCTGCAACAAAATTAAATTCCAATACTAAAGGCTCTTTAATTAAATTGTGCAATTAATTTAATATCATCAAATATTTGACTATTTATAAAGATGAACAGCGATAAGGAAGTAGAGCATCATTTAATTTTTCATAAAACTAAAAACGGAAAAGGTTCGGAGATAAAATAGAGGTAGATTTGGAGAGGCTAGAAAAACGAGTGATGTAGAAAGGAACGTGGATGTTGGAGTAAAACATTATTGCGCGTTCTGAAAATGATTTTTTTATTTTTATGGTGATGGTGAATAGTAGCCTACTTGAAGTTTCGCCACAATCCATCGTGTTTTATTAGGCCGTTGCCACCGTGGTTGTAGTCGTCTTCGACGAGCACATCTGCACCCGCGTTCGCGTGATGGCGGAGGGATGGTGAGTTCCTTAAAGGAAAGTGGCAGGGGAATTGGGAGAAGGAGAAGCAGATGGAGACGGTATGAGTGAGAAAGAAAAGAAAAGAGAAAGACGCAGACAGCAAGATGGAGTTGACGTGAGAGAGTGTAAGCTGGTAAAGTAGTAAGTAGGGGAGTAATTTTATAGGTTAAAAAGTTGATGCTATTCAGGAAGAGGATGAAGAAAATTCAAAAGAGGATTGCAGATAGTGGAAAAATAGTCGTTAACCTTGGTGACAACTGGGCCAAGGTTTACGCACCCGGTATAGAGATTAGATGTGGGCAAGGTGGTTGCTCTCTTGTCGCTTTTACGACAACCGCAACGTGGGAGTGTGTGAGAGAGAGAAAATAGTAAAGAAAGTATCACGTTTTTTGATTCGTTATTCTCCACATTTAATTTTCTATGTGCCGCGTACTTACTTACCGGCCATTATTAAAATATTTTTTTTATTCACTATTTTGATTTTTTTTTTCTCTCTCTCTCTCTCTTGTTTATTGCTTTTCTTTTTTTTTTTGTAAGCAAGGAAGGAGAGAGTGGGTGGCGGGGAAAAACTGAAACCCCGTGCACCGGCCTCGATCCGTCCTTCTCTCTTCACTGCGTAATCACAGAGTTCCGGATTTGGCAAGACGGAAAATGCCGTGAGGTTTTATGTAATGAGTTAAAAGGACACACAAAGGTGTATCACAACGCGTGTCACATATTCGTAAAAAAGACAAAATTTTTTGGAGTACGTTGTATAAAAATTCCGAAGTCACGCGTGTCCAACCACCATCACACTGCACCACCACGACTTTCTTCCCCTAATGTCACTATTTTTTCTTTCACACTAGTCTGCACTATCATTTATCTTTATAAATGTTTGAAGTGACGACCGGTAGTGTATGTTAGCTTTGTCTCGGATGATCCTTATGACGTCAAACTAACGATAATTTGTATTCTCGAACGTTTATAACAGTAATCGAGCGCCAGAGACAATCGTGTGCGTCGAATTCTGCGAATATCAGCAGCCCGCCATGTTTGTTCAGTCTATCACCGGTTTCAGCGCCCTCTTCCTTCTTACCTCCTTCCCTGCCGCCATGGATGTCATGCAAAGCGCGCGCGCTTGCGAATCAATTCGGTAGCATTCGAACTATCTCGGAGATTGACGACCTTTTCGCGGTTATTTTGAAATTTTATTACAAAGAAATCCATCACACATTCACTTTATGTATTTTTTTCAATAGTAGCTATACACATATTATCGAATAAAAATTAGTTGAAAGAAAACGATCTTTTAATGAATAGAAATGAAATTCGATTGATGAATAATTATTAATCAATGCAAACTACAATATTTACATAAGTGAATAATAAGAGGTTAGGATTAATTTACATGAAAAAATAAAAATTATTTAAGAAAAATCAACAATTAAATGAAAATGTGAAGATCAAGATGTGTGAGACTGATTATAGTTAAATAATTTGGTACTCTATATATTCATGATTGTATCAGACAATTGACACGTTGCCCTTTTCTAATTACCCAGCAGTTCATTGAGCTTATCACGTAATTCTTCGAGAGAAGAAAACAGAGGTCCTTGTTCCCTCAGTTGTTGGGCACTAAATGGATGGTGTAATGAATAAGATTTTGGAGAAATTGGTGCCGACGAAGATTTATTGACTTCCATTTTACGATGGATAAATACAGTTGACAGAAAATGTGATTGAAGATTTTCACAATAATTTCGAAAGGTTTCACTTTATCAAATGGCTTCAATATAATATAAAGACTATGTCAAAAGATGCCACTGCTCGATGTGAATCATTCAACAATCAACTGAATGATGCTTAAATTGTTTGACAATGATAAAGAGAATGAAGCAAAGAAAAGAAAACCATCAGAGCAATCGGTCGAACATATTAGAAGATGCCTGCTAATAATGCTAATCGACTTCTCCACTTTGTGATTAACAAGATGTGGCGTAATTGCCGCCATTTTTTTTGGTCAAAAGCTACAAGACACGTGAATAGTTGAATTATATTAATTAAGCACAATTAAGTATAAGTTACTGACTTCTTAAAAAGTTTTATTGATAATAAATTTTTTTGTCACTGATGTTCACTAATTGGCAGGTTAATACTCACGAGATGAACTGGTTTCACCCTCACTTTGATGAAATCTCAAAACAGTTTCACGATTACTATATCTAGTAGCATTCTCGATAGACCTAAGTGCATTTACTCTTATCACTTTCGAGTAGTTCATGTGTACAGGCACAACCTGATCATCATCATCATCATCCCCCATGATGAGATGAATAACGAAAAAAATGTAATTAAAGATAAAAATTTGAGGCTAAAATTGAGAAGGCAGACGGAAGATGTTTATTCGCGCTGATGTTCGGCGCCGACGATAACTAACTGATTAGTGTAGCGTGTTTGTCAGTTCAACTCAACGATTTTATTTGAAGGATATAAACATTCTTTTGAAAAGTCTCATCAACTGTCAATAGAGTCCACAAGATTTCAAACTGTATTAGTATTCTAACTCAAGCACTTTACGAAAACCAGAGAAAGTTTCCTAAGAATTTACGTGAAATGTTTGAGTTTTGGATTAGAGGTAACTAGTTAATAACAACAAGGTCAATCGATGTGACTAGTAAAGAGGTTGTATGGAATTTAAAATTGTTATAAGTATTGTATTCGAAAGATATTAACAAAGGTAGTAAAATAACTGCATACGTTATTTGCCTGTTATTGAATGATTGACGAGTGCGTCTATTTGAATGATGCAGGCCATGGTTCAACATGATGTCGAAGCAGAGCAAATTACCTCATGTAGTTAGCTAGAATGTGAGATTAGCTGAGAGAAGAAGAAACTACTTGTTCACAAAATTTTCATCGGATTTTATTCTATACTGGGTAACATTGAAAGGCATTAATTAACTTGGAATACAATTATAGAGTTTAGATAATGGAGAATAAACGACGAGTTAGAACATTAACGAATACTGGACAATTGTAGTACCCGTAATGGTAATGCGAGTTGGTAATCTCATGATTATGAATTCCTTCCACCTACCTAATACTCTATCCTGTGTGGAATTAAGTCCAAGGTCGTAGTTTTTTTGTAAAGCCAACGGAAGGGTATCTCCGGCTTATATTTAAACGTTTTGCTCATCTTATATGGTTTTATCATGTCATGAAAATTATTCGAAAGCTTTCGAAAAGCGACTGATGGATACAAGGAAAGTGGAATATCTCTTTATTATAACAGATGCTCCATTTCATCGGATGAAAATTGTACAACTATTCAATGACAGAAAAGTAAGCCTGTAATAATCTCTTCTATCTCACTTTATTTGTTCATATTTGCCATCGACTTACCAGTTCTCTTGTTGACAGCAGTATTAATCATGGATCCAAGCTTAGTGAGGCTGGATTGCCTCATGATACCGGAGGGACTCTTCATTTGTTTGGCCCCAAGGATTGTAGTTGTTGAATTCGGTGTAGAAGTTAGTGTTCCAGGAGTACGTCTCTGGACACCAGAAGATTCGTTCCAACAATTTACCCCGTGATGGCTTGAATTGCAACAGGGGGTCCGCTGATGTGGCGGAGCCCCCCATAGACCCACTACTCCCGCGTGACGCGTTGTGGAAATTTGATAGACCTTTTTGTAACGTACTCACTTTGTCCTGTTCGCAATTGCGATATTCCAGATGCACTAGGCTATTCATTCACCACTGGAAAATAATACCAGGTAATATAACTATCATTCCACTCATTAATTTTTCTTGAATACTTCTACGTCACTTCCACGTATGATAACTCAAGCTTTTCTTATTTGCTAACAGGTGATACTCACTCATACACATGGACACTTGGATTATTTATTGTGCATGCAGTTATTAAGAGAGCTAGTAAATAAGTAAACTTGAAGATATAGTTAAATGTACACAACGAAAAACATATGACGTTTATAATCTCACTTTATACATCAGTACAAAGAAAAAAAGAAAGAAGGTAAATTTTAGTAGTAGGTCATCACGTTATCGGTGAATCCGTACGTTCGCCAATTTGATTCTTTATGGCTTCAAGAATATTAATATTACATTTGCAAATCTCTGTAATCATTATTATTGGACTCGTTAATTAACGATAATTTTTAACGGAGTAACTTTGAATCTACGTAAAAACATAATGGATTTTTTTTAATTGAAAAGGATTGAATACCAAGGGAATTTTATTATCATACGTTTTTTAATTAAAACTGCTGATGAATAATCTTACTTATATTGTGTAAAAAAGCAATGGTCACAGTAATAACAGTAGGATCAGTTATCATAATAAAAAAAAACATTTTATTACAAGACTTAAGTCAATATTACTACTGGATTATAAGGATTTCGATTGAATTCCATATGCAGACGTCAACAAGTATTATTCAATTTATAGTTATAGCTAAGTTACTGCAAGCTAAAAACATTTTAGACAACTTAAAGCAGTTCAGATTCATCTTGTCGTTGCACTTTTCTTTCGTCTACCGGCTCTATTGAAGAATTATATCAACGAATTGTAAACATATATAAAACCATAAAAGACTAGTAAACACGTGTATATCAAACGCATCAACAAAAACCAGTTGAATTCGGATTTAATAGAGATGATTAGTGCAGACTGTTCGTTACATGTGTGCTCCTTTGTGTATATAAGCTACTACCGTACGATCATAAAGTTGATCTGCAAATATTACGTTGAAGATTAAAAGACTTGGTCAAGGTGAATAGTACACTTTATTCATCAGTTGTTTTTCGCGTTTACGCAATTTTTTCTGTCCTTTAATTGTTTTGTATTTTCTCCAAGTCATTAATTGTCAGTGAACATCAAATATTCTATCAACAAGTCATTGTGAGTCCTATCCAAAAAACATTATCGTCTCATTTTCGCACGATTTCTAACAAGGTCTTTCTTGGTGAATGTGTGTTTCACAATTACCCGTGTATTTCGTGTACACATGTCTGTCAAAATAAAGTTGATAGGTGTATTGTTCACGGATCACAACAATTAGGTCATGCGCGCGCGAGCCACAATAAAGATCGACGTCATACATTTTTTTGACCATCAGTTCATACGATTCCTTTTATAGTCTAACTAGCTACCCTCAAGAGAAGCATCTGCGTCAAATTCTAAGAAATTTCATGACACAATCAATGATGTCTTGGAGATTTTTTTATTATAACAATCAATAAATAGTCTAACTGCGAAATACTATTTTTCAAGTTATATGTAAAACTTTGAAATACATTTGGTAAAAAAGAGCCACGACATTCGATTGTATGTTTTCTATCCAGGATTTATCATAAATTAAAATTTTGATCACGTAGACCACCATTACAGGAGTCGACCTTTCCTCCTTCCACTGTTGCTGCAAAGACTGATTGCCAGTTCATGACAGGCCTAAATGCTATAAAATTTATGAAATATTCAACAATTTGAAACATCAGTCAAAAACTTTTGTTGAAATAGACAATTAATTTGTTATTATTATATTGAAATATCTTTATTCATATGTCGTGGAAGATATCTATTAATCTGATTTATTTTTAGGTCAATAGGAAGACTGTGAACTCAAGAGCAAAATAACAGAACAAGATTTGATAGTTTAGATATGGATCCAACATGAGTATGATGATGGAGCAAAATTAGATACTGTAATCATCGATTTCCTTTATACATACATAATTGTATTATCTTCGGATGAGACAAGGGTGCAAGAACGTATTATTATGTTTCATTAAACTAAAGTTTTATTGAATTGGATATGATCGAGGGTTGATTCTGTTTGAGTCAAGTCCATGGCACACCTTATCCGGCCGCATATTAATTATACTCTTGCTAGTAAACTGAGGGTAAAATCGATCGAGAATTTAATAGACAATTTACAATGACAACTGATTACCCTAGACATAACTGAAACATTCTAATCAAATATTGGGGTTTTCGCAGACGACCCTGACCAAGAGTATTTTAACATCGATATTATTCTTGAAACTTTGAGCTTGCGTGTTATTTTAAATACGATGGCAGACGGGGAAAAAATATATAAGCCAGATAAGAGAACAAGATCAAGATTCAAGAGTTTAAGAAAATAGTTAATGGAAGAGAATTAAAGTGAATATGACCGTCAGGTGGACAATGGTTTTGTCGGTGAAATAAAAAAGAAATTGAGCAGATAGTAGTGTTGGTCACATTTCACTTGAGTAAGGTCTAGAGTGCGACAAAACATCGAGATATTAATCATATTGTCACACGCATACAAACGAAGAAGGGAAAAAAGTTGTTGAAAGAGAGAAAAAATTAGAAGTAGGGTGTAGTACAAATGAGTGAGCTGAAATAAAACTGAGTTTGAGTACGAAACAGCTGATGTAGTACACTGGAGCAAAAGCATTACTATTTATGTTAATGGTACCTTTACTGTGATCGATTACAGATACAGTAATGAAGACAGGAAGGGAAATCATTGAACTGAAACGACAGGTTACTGCACATAGATACTAGCACTCCTTCATTGCTCATCCTCGTAATTTCTCAGTTGTTTTGTACTACGTAACTGAGAATACTTACAGGATAGTACTATCGAATGAAAATAAGAGCAAATAAGATAAAGTGAGATGTTAAATAGAATGAGAAAGCAATGCAATGTCATCATGCTGGCAACATGTGAGAGCTAAGAACGTGTTTCATCCTATACATACAAGCCGGCTTCATTTTCGTTCATTTAAGCGATGTCTCGCAACATAAAGCACCCACAACAACTAGTATAGCTTCAAAGCGAATCATTGGTTTATTGGATACTCACCAAGGCTCCAGGGTGGAGTAAACCATTGCAGACGACAGATGAACAAATCAGAAAAAAATAATAAAAGTATTTGAGATTAAATTATGTGTATAGAATTATGATCTTGTAATACACTTAAATTTTTCAGGTGACTGGTAAAATACTTGAGAAGATGGAAACGATATTTGCTCAGTTATCAGTTGTTAAAACACCACAGATACACTAGCACTACATGCATCATCAAAGTACGGATGTTCACGGTTGAAGGATATACCCATGAGAAGAAAACCGGGGACTCAACGGCGTCAGAAGTAAGTTTATGTTGAGTAAATTTTTGTTATTAATACTTGAAACGTGGTGAGAATCAATGTCGTCGTCATAGTTAGCACCGTTAAACTTCGTCGTCTTTACGGTCGTCAAGACGTTCACTAGCACGACGTAGTGGTATGAGAAATAATTTCAAGCAATATCGCGAGCGAGCTAACGGCTGTCTGCACCACAGCCAGAATGAAATGCCAGACAAACGACTAGTATAAGGGGACGAAACATGAAACCGAGAATTACCGACGATGGCCGAGCGCACCCCCGATGAGAGAGCGCAACAGTTGCTCGTATGACTCGAAATTTAGACTTGCAATTTACTGATGATATTCTGCGGGTTCTTGGGCAGGTGTTAAACAACGAAATAGACTCAAGGTGAAGGAGAAATTACATACAAACATCATTTAGGATTTTAAAACAGTCTATCGATGAATTTCAATATTTATTTTGAGCATGAATACAATTTATCACGTATTCCATTTATTTCTGATAGAACTTCGATAAGCCTCAGATCGATAGTTCTCAGTTTTATATTTTTTACATTTTTCTAAATCATTGTTTTTGGGAAACACATAACCGAAATAACTTTCTACTAAACACACCTCTTCATACAATCCTTCAACAGTCATTTCAATAACATGCGCACACTCGTGCAGTAACCAACGAAAGTTTACTGGTAGATTTCTTTCAAGCAGACGAAAATGCTGAGGAAAAATGTGAGAAAAATGTTGACAACGACGTAACCAGTATTCCTTAAATGGTCGAAAGAATGTCATTTGTTCATGCTCCAAAGTCGAGTTGTTCGAGGTGTTTTGTTTTGGTTTTATATTTTCTGCTAAAATCAATAGCTCGTCTGAGTCACTGGCCACAGGATTACTATCAGAAGCCTCTTCTACCACTTCCATGGTATCTCCATTTGAAGTATTATTATCCTCTATCTTAATTTCATCAACTTCTTTCTTCTTGGTCATATTTTCAGTTTTATTTTTAACAATTTTACTTTTTTTAACATACCTTCCTCTAAGCCTTTCTTGATGCCAGAATTTTCTTTCTTCTTCCCACGGATTTTCTACAGGACCTAACATGATTTGCTTCTCGAAGTTAGAAAGTATCAACTTATAATTTTTTTCTAGATCAGTTAATTTTGCTTTTTCTGCATTTGTTGATTCCTCTTCTCCAATGTCATCTTCATCATTAGGAATCTTCAATTTCCCATCAGGATTAACTTGATCAAATTCAAAATCGTCTACTTCAACGTCCTCATATTTCTTATTATTTTTTTCCAATATTTGCATTTTTTTGAATAATCTTTGCTTTTTAGAATCAATAAAAATCTGGCCTGGATGCTTGCGATGCAGATACTCTGATGGGTCATCTGACTTTACGAACTTCAATGAATTTGCTTTACTATCTGTAGAAGGTGTTACAACTTTTATTGGTTCGTTGTTGATATTGTTAGCTCGTTGATTTTTAATATCAGGTAAAAGAAGTGGTTTGAAAATCGGTACAACTTTTTCCACAAAATGTGGTGATATATCTACATAATTTAACTCTATATTAGATTCAGCTGCAAGTGCCACCAATCTAAAAATTACAACACATTAAATCACCGTCTTATCACGCGATTTAGAGAAAGAAAAAAAATCTACTTACGATTCAGGTCTTGTTATATAACCAACTTTGGTCGAGGGAAAATCCTGACGAAGAATACTGGGCAGAGCTCTGTTAGGATCTTGAAGCAGCTGTTGGAGATAAGAGTGTTGAGGTGTTAAAGATGGTGGAAAAGATGGGATTTCTTTTCGTGGTAAGTCATTTATTTGAAGTCGTTCTATTTCTTGTTTCATTGTTCTTGCTAATTGCGTAGGAATATAACCCTGGCTATACTTTTTCTCACTTTCATCAATTTCTTGTTTAGACTCGAGCGACTGAATAAATTCAATATAAAGGTGACTGTTCTCTGAAGCAGATGGGTCACGTTTCAGTTTTGTTGGAAGATGCTCATTTACGAGGATGCAACGTCGACACTCGATGTATCGCTGCCATTCGCAAAAGTTGAAGAGTCTTGAGTCAAGTGAATCTTTTTCTTTAGTAACCCTGCAATGAATATTTGCTTCATGAGACTCTAGTATATTTTTTTTTTACTTACTCAATATTTAAATCAATATTTGAATGGAGTAGTGAACTGGTAGACAAGTCAATTTTTCATCAGTCACAGTTTTTTTTGTGACGTTCATGATGGATTTGCTGTCCATATGTGATACATTCGTCTTTAATGATCGGATATGACAGACGCGATATATTGTAAACTTTACTACGTTTGTTCACATGCAATGTGTTTGAAAAAACATTGAATTGATTAAACATAACAAGCTTTCTTATGATACTTGAATGCTGCTTACAAAATGTGCTACATATATTTTATTAGAATCATTTAACTAAATTTGATATCAACATTGCTTTTTACCTCTTTCAATTTGAGCCGTTAATCTATTATTTATTATTGTGTGCTTTTGAAATATTATCGATTAGAGAAAGGAATTAATGTACTTGATGATCTGAATAGTTATTTAACAATCGCTCTTATCAGAATAAAAAGCAAGATGTTAAATATTGGAAGTCAATAGTTAATCTAAAAATATAGCCCGTTACGTCATTCTAATCGAATTTCCGGTACTGGAGTTAAAGATCCCTAGAGAAATCTTGGAAGATTTTATTGGAAAAATTCTATCAGTAGATGTCTGTTAACAGATATTTAATGTTTCACAGTTTTCATGGTATTCACTACGTATTTGGATTCCAATGTTGATCTATTCATCAAGCATGCATTTGCTTTTTCGTTTAAGGAATTCGGAGCCTATTTATAGATACAAGTCAAGTCGTCTTCATTTTATATTCACTGCAGAGAATTTTTAATTGCATAAATTACTTAGATTTTTTCACCATTATTTTTTAAGCATCAAAAACTAATTGCTAGCGAATATTCAGCAATTTTTATTACTTCCTATTTATTTCTATGATTAATGTAATGGTTGAATAAGTCGTGTACTACGAAACATTCACTGCATAATCAGGAATATCTTAAAATATACTCACATATTTATCCTCTCAATCACTCGGCTAATTTTATATTCGGTTATACCATCCAAGCCGAATAGTATTTTCATAACGACAATAATAATAGCCATCACTCTGCCTTCGTAATTAGGGAAGAATACAGTCCTTCCGGAAAAGTTCATGCCTGGTGGTGATGAAGCTAACAATCTTTCCGCATATAAATAAATACCCTCTATAAATAAATAATTCGTAATCAATTGATAAAATTAAATGAAAACACATTAATAAAGAAAAATTACTGTCATTATTACCAGGTAGTTGCAATTCTGTACAAAATTTACGTAGTAATGAAGCTAAATCAGTAGGTGGTAATTCCCACACTTGGAGAAATTTCGCCATTCGATTAATTATAGCTCTCATAGTTCTGTATCCTAAATCAGCAGTAGGATGAATTTTACTTAATTCGCTAGTAGACAACGTAACGTCAGGAGGGAAAAAATGTTCTAGTCTAAAGTAAGATAAGTGACCTTCTCTTGAATACCTAACAATATTTTTTTCTAATTATTCTGAAGATATTCAATATAAATAAATTGATGAAAAATTTACCTTAGGAGGTCTGATAAATGTAATTTTTCATTATTAATTCGTAGAGCTAAATAAACTATTGCCCATAGTCTTTTTGCAGTTATAACTCCCGGCCCAGTTTTATACTTAGCTGATGCATATTTGTCTTGAAATTTTCTCTTTTCATTTCTCGGTAAAGATTTGGATAATACCTTGGCTTGTTTAGCTTCTTCTTGAGCATTTTTATTGAGCCAACGAATAGATCTATATTTAATCAAAATGATTCAAATAAAATAGTATGTGTCATTGATATTTTATGTAATTAGTATTACTATAAGTAGTATTATTAATACAAAATATTTATTATGTACTTGCGTATTTTTTTTTTTGGTCTTCCCGATTTATCACTAGCATTTGTTTGAACACTGGAATGACTTGCATTAGATTCACTCAAACGATCTACTTCTGAAGCATCTTGGGATTCCAAGTATTTTCTATATTCTGATTTCATCATTAATGTCTATTGGAAAAATTACTATTAATAACTGAAATTGTTTTCTATTTACTTTTATTATCAAAACGTACCTTTTTCTTGTTGAATTCTCTATTCAAACTGAATCTACTAACATTGCTCTCAGATATCATAGATGTACCAGCTACACTGCTTCCATCAGTTTTTTTAATTTTTTTCTTTTTCTTAGGTTTACCATCCGTGCCATAGATGATCTGAACATCTCTAAACAAATATTTTTAATATATAAAATCAGAATAAAAAAAGAAAAATAATTTTTCTCCTTACTTTTGATCATAACATCTTGGAAGCTTGGGAAGAGTTTTGGTTGTTGTAGATTTAAATGCAACTTCTAATTTTCCTAAATAAGTGGCCCAAAGTTGTAATAATGTTAATTTGATATCTGATGAAACTCCTAGATCAATTAACTGGTTAGCTAATCCGATTATAATGAAATTATACTTTTCCCAAGTAGTCCAACCGGAAACTTCTATAAAAAGTCCATTAGATCTGTTGTAAATAATTCTTTGAATAATAAAAGAAAGATATAAATTCAGTTTACCTTCTTGAGCCGCTTGCTTTTTACGAATTCGTGTCTTAATTAGCCTTGTTCCATGTTCTGTTGGATTATAGTCAACAACTTGTTCTCTAACTCCCTGTAAAAAATTGAGACTTTAGTGATATATTTGATGAATTAATAATTGATTAATTTACCTCTTGTTGTGTTTGACATTCTTTGCAGAAATAGAACCCTGAATCAAGATAAAAATCTTGACCACCGCAAACTGCACAGTTATCCATTATCTTATATTTTATTTATTTATTAATTCATTGCATTGACGTAAATGATGACTAAAATCCTCTCTTTAATCATGTATTACAATCAACACGTGGAAAATGGCATTTTAGTACTTTAACCTCTATCAGCATGTATAGATACAAAAACTGCATATGAATATCAAAAAATTCATTTAATTAACTATTACCTGTAGTATGATAAAATTTAATCTTTCAATGTAACAAAATTTAAATTTATTACCATGTCCATAATCTTTTTTGAAATAAAATAATTACATGGACTATCTACATTCGTTATAAACTCCACAAAATAGGTTATAAATATTGCTGGTAGTTGATAAACTAGGAATTTTTGTATAAAAGCTCAGTCGGTAACTTAGCATACAAAATAGTTCTCCGACAGGGTCGCCACTAGAAAATTCTCGTATGTTCGATGGACAGCCAAACCGGGTGGAAGCGTCCGCGAAAGCTTCTCGTGATTTTTACGTTTTTTGCTGTTAAATAATAGATTTTTCATATTGAATTATATATAAATTATAATTTTAAAAGATTCTTAATAATATAATTTATAAACATCTATAAATTTTTCAATAATTCTTGAGTAATAATAGATATTTTCTTAAATTATAGATAGCGTCTAATCAGAGTCTATAATTATTTCATTATTGTGTAACAACAGTAATTAGTATAAAGAGTATTTCACACGTGGTCTCTTTATTGTTAACGTAACGTATTTAATAAGTTTTAACAAGTGAAAATTAGAGTTTTTATATATTAAAAGTAACCTAGCCCGCGCTGACAATGTCGCCATCTTGTGGACTTGCATGATTTGATATGAACAGTTTTGGATTCAAGTTTACAGATGACGACGTCGATGTATAAAGTTTGCAGAATGATTCCGCGTTGTTAAAAAAAAGAGATGATAAATATAAGACTGGTGAGTACTTTTCCAGTTATCAACTTATGTTATTATGAAAGTTACAATGACGTAATAGAAAAATAATAAAGTATATTAAATGGCATTCATTTTCAATTTGGAGCAATTCGTCTTGTTCGTACTTCGTCTCTAATTAATTCATCAAACAACAAACGAATCGTTATCATAATCATTCGCGTCATTGGAGCCATTAATTCCGTATGCTGCACATATGTTGAATGTATGTACTGACGCTCTATTTCATGAGTGAACGTGCGCAATATGTAGGTCGAGGGACGTTGAATGGAATCGAGTAAACATGACAAAACGAAAACACACATTCGATCTTGCGAAAACACGCACTTGGACGTAACATACAGTTGGACAGAACGATCAGGCTCAAAGAGCATTAGAATATATTTACGTTATATTTGTATGTTTACTATACATGTAATAGCCCGGAGCTCCTCGAACCGATGACCCTGCCTCTCTAATCGTGTGTGAGACTCTAAGCGCGTGGACACACGCCGGTGTCCCGCTTACGTTGTGTGCCAGCCTTCGGGCTCTTATCACGACAATTACGCAACGTCCAGTCGTGTCGCGTACGTAAGTCGGTCGAGTCGATCCGGTAATCGAGGCAGGAAAATACGATCATCGCGCGGTGTTAGAATATATTGTGAAGAAGCCGCGAGGTTAAACATTTACAACTTAATTCACTCAACGGAAACTTTGGTTTTCCACGAATAAAAAAAAATAAAAATAATAGAGCAAAAAAAATAAGGGGAAGGAATTTATCCACGTGCTCACACATGGTGATTGATCCTGGCACGTGCTCACAGGAGTTTTGGTGGTTTTGAGGAGCCCGTCGGCGTCGCAGCTTGGAGGCGTCGTCGTGGCCAATGTAGTTGGTGGATGGCATGGTGCGAAGACCGGGACAAACGTCAGGGCGCGTGCGTAACTAAGGATAGAGTAGACGAGGAGCAGCGGCGACGGCGCAGCAAGAGCATCACCACCAGCACCAGCGGCGGGGACAACGACGAAGCCAGCGAGGGCCGAAGATCGCCGAGCGTACGGGGCTACGTGGAAACTCAAGCTGGTTTGGCCAGCACAGTGTTCCAAAAGTCGCCACCCCGCACGAACCACACACGTAGCTACGACGGCAACCGTCGTAAAGCGCGTTATCGGAGCATCGAGGCTCCATAGTAACGAGCCAGATACAGAAACACCAAGAGCAGTAGCGTGAGCAGCTGAGGAAAAGGGGCCTATCGCATCGCGATACGTGTGCCTGACGAGTTGAACTGAACACGAGGGAGCGTTTGTACAGTCATTCAAATAGTGTTGTAGTCGAAATATTAGTTGATTAACGGAATCATGAGTGTGGCTTTTGGCGAACAATTGCAAGTGTGAACTGAAATACAGGAGGTTTTAAGTGGACGTCAGTGAGTTTTCAAGTTTTGATAATTTTTTTAATAATTACTGGTTGTATGTGAAACTCATGATATGGTTGAATGACTATCGTGTATTTATTGTTGAAAGTGTCGCAAGTGCATCAAAGAAGTCGAAAGTGACGTAGACAGGTTGTGTCGGGATTGACAGGTCTATTCTTCCTTGTACGAATAATTCGACGTTTGCTCAATTTAGCAGCAATATTACGTCGAATTTGTTTATAATAATTTAGTGAATACGGCGAGTTCCAGTATCAGGGTTGACAAGGTATAATTGTACAGTTTAGTTTTTGGTGACAGAGGATAAGGTGTACGGTTGATATCACGACGAAAGAATGCACTGGAGTGTCAGAGTTATTAGCTTCGAATTTGTTCGAAGCACACCTCGTCCGGTGTAATTTGGACTTTAAAGTGTTAAGCTATTATAGTGGAGGAATAAGTTTTAAAAGAAGAAAGTGGATAAGAGGAAGAAAGCGGAGAAAGAAAGATTTAACAACGTCTAGTCCTTTTCCGGGTTATCGTGCGTGTCTTGATGAGCGTGGCGATCGATAGGGAGTTCGCGTGCTCGTGTCGGAGACGTTGACGACGTCCGGGTCGACGGTGAACATAATCATCATCCCTGATCGAGACTATTGAGTCTCTGAAACTTAAAAACTTATCTATTAAGTCAATTGAGATTGATCAATCTTTCTCTTTATAGTTCTCTACAAGTATATGGGGGACTTTGGAGCTGCCAGTCTCTTCTCGAGTACCCCAGCGTCTGGGTGCAGACAAACAAGCACCTCCTCAACGGTGACGCTGCTGAGCAGCCAGGTGGGAGCAATGCAAGACGATTTGCTGATTGAAAAGCAGGGCAGCGCTAAAGCGGCGCCCCTTTCACCTGGATTAGACCCAACTGGTGTTCAGGATAAATCCAAGGACGCGTCTGAAGCTGAGAGTATTGCTATTGCCCCCACAACTCCCTCATCCATGGACAAGGACATCACGTCTTGTGGCACGACCTCAAGTCTCCAAGGATTCACTGACCCCGTGAGAGTACCAAGTCTCTGGGCAACTGCTCCGGAAGATACTGGACTTCATGCATTACCTGTTAATGGCTCGATCGCTACCTTCCAAAACTTTCCAACTGGCGCTCCTGGACTTTTTGCTGGATCTGGAGCACGTCGAGCCATTACTGCAAGCCATAACTTCCCCCAACATGGGAATGCTTCGCCAGCAGGTAGTAGACATAGTCTTCAAGTCGGAAATCAGCCGCAAACTCAACAACAAGCTCAACAGGCTCAGCAAACTAGTCAACAACCCCCTTCGTCACATACTGGAGTTTATCTCCAAGGCAAAGGTTATGCTGCATGGTCTGGAGGACCTCAAGCACCTCAACAATGGGGTGGTGGACCTCAAACGGCAGCTAGTCCAGCATTATCACCTTGGAGTCGAGGTCGGTCAGTACCCAATTTACCACCGCTACATTCTTCATTACATGCAGCTGCAGCAGTTGCTGCAGCGGCTGGACTTCAAGGTAGAAAACCTAGTCCAACATTTCCTGGTCATCCAGGACCTAACCAAGCTCATCCATCAAATATTAGTCCAGTTAAATTCCGTCGGAGCACGTCATATCCTGGAAAAGGAAATTTGTATCCACCACAACCTGCACCTACTTTTGAAGTCACTACTGCTGACGAACGAGATCTTTTACAACTTCCATATCAGCAGGTGAGTTATATCTTAAGACTTTTCTTTTACAGTTTCGATGTCTTAATACTATACAAGCTATTCGTTCATACACTCACGGCGTTATGCAACGCACTCTCATACGTATTTTAATTTTAGAGCACTCGTTTGTCGACTATTTCAACTGCCACGACGTTGTCGTTGTTCGATGTCGTTGCACCACCACGAAGGTGTATATTTTAGGCATCAATCTTTTTTCTTTCTGTTTCTTTTTTTAAATTCAATTTACTAGCAACTACAAAGCAGTGTTTAATCTTGAAAATAATTTCTAGGCCATTAAAAATAAAACTAAAAACATTTCAAATAAATAAAATGTTTTGTTGCAGAAGTTGTTTTGTAATCTTGAAAATAAGGGTTGAAATGTTTCATGAGTACGTGCTATCCATCGTCTTGTTCACTCGTCGTTGAATTCTGACCTAATTTCTGCAACTAGCTACTCTCTTCTCGGCCGGTGTCTAGCATAAGTTTAAGCTTAGCTATTTTAACCACAGAACAAAAATAGGTCCTGCATACCATTTGAACAAAATGGCGAGAGTTTCGTACAAACTTTTATTCTTTTTTATTATCTTTCAATTTTATTCTTTTTTTACACTCCAACTCTGTGCTTTCTTCAACATTGTTTTGTTTTAAAACTCAGCTGGATATTAAGAGTATGTATCTTAAAGTTTCTTATAGATGCATAAAAAACAATAGTTACTGCGTTTGCTTGTAACTTATCAATATCGTCAAACAATTAGCGTGGCAAACAGTATACCGTTCCTTATCTCGACTGAGCACTCGTGCTTTTAATTAACCTCTATGATACTTTTTCCCTTTTATAGGTACTATGATTATGTCTAGCTCTTTCTCTATATATTTTTCTTTCTTTCTTCCGCTTGCTTCTCTTCTAACCTTCTGTGTTGGTTAAAGTAGTTTGATGGAGGTTGTTAATACATCATCTATTTATTGGAAAGATTTTGAAAGATTATTAAAAACAATTTTTACACCAAAAAAACTCATTTAAATCATAAAGTATATTTTAGAAGATGTTATTATCGATCAAAAAAGGATTTATTATAGACCGTTCATGTTATTTATTCTCAAAAATATTTTCAATAAATATTACGTTGTTGAAGTGTTTTGATAATTTACTGATTTTTTTTCCTTGAATGAATCATTTATTTATTTGAAAGTCATTGTCTTATATAATTTTTATCAAGACGAATATTCTGTTTTTAGTGATAATTGATCAATTTGTTTCTGTGATTTTAATAATTGTTTTTAAAAAATTTAGTATGACCATTTTTAAACAAAGAAGGTCAGCAGGTTAATATAACTATCAGACTCTATTTTAATAATAAGCGATAATGAACTGTAATAATAATAACAACAACTGCTAAAAATAACTTCTAATGTTGATAACAATAATTCATTGGAAGTATTTCAGTGGAAATTATATTTAAATTAAAATTATAACTAAACTATACTTATTAGGAAATTTAACAATTCTTTATAATATCTTTTAATAATATCTCATTTGAAAATGGATTTTAAAAGTATTTAATAGAGTAAATTTTACTGATAGTGCAATTGAAGTGAACATTGATAAGAACAAGTTGATGCCATAATAAGTTTTATTTTATTCTAATTTCTTATTAATATTTTATGAAAAAAGAATTTCAAACAATAGAATAGTAAATTCTGATAACTATTGTATTTTAACCTTGAATTATTGAGGTAAAAAACAGCAATTTATACAAAAAAAAACCCCATTCATCATTTAAAAGGTTGAATTGAGAATTGCAGCTTTCAACTTGTCTCTTATTTCCTTTTAAGGGCCAATAAAAGACAAATTATCATGTTCATTTCAATCTTTTTTATTCATGATAAAAAATATTCTTAAGTAAATGAAATTTATTTTCTTAAAATGATTGATTGGTGGCAACAATTTATCAATATACTTATCAGACCTAGTACTTCATAGGTATAGAATATAATTGAAAATATTTATTTCAACACGGAAGTTATTTCTTTATTTCACCAAAGCTATTTGATATTAGAGCAAATGCTTATAGCTGGCGAAATAATTTTACCAAAATTCGTGATCTGGATGAGAAATGTTCGGAATTTGGAAACCACGACCAGAATACTACGTTGAAATAGGTATAGAGTAATACAGATTATTATCAGGCATGGGTCATGATTTTTTTCCTAGATATTTGCGTGATTTTATGAGCGAACGATAGAAATAGTAATTGAGAAGAGAAGAAAGATAGACGACAGCGGAAATGACATTGTGTGTTTGTGATGAAGCAGAATATTCTGAGGGAAATCGAGCTAATAACTATATAGTTGCAATTCACCTTGAGTGCAGTATCGGTACACGTGTATATAACATACGGTTGGCAATCGTTGATGCACTATTCGTATCGCTCAACGTTAGTTCGTGCATATTATGTAGATGTTCATGAAGCAAAGAACTTGAAAGTCGCGATATGAATTTTTTACGGTGCAGATAATGAAAAAAAATATTACTCAACAAGATGTTCTATGAATACTTTTCAACGTCAAGTTATTTCTTTGGCTGTAGGTTAAAGTAATTTGTAATTATCCTAGGTAAAATAGTTGGTATCGATCCTTGAGGTTGGTCCAAAAATAGCTTTAAGCGAAAATAGACCGACGCTGCAGTCTGGTGCATTCTGCACTGCGACTACTGTCTTTCTGTCCTTACTAATTCATTTACTTTTTTTGAAGCTTCACTATGATTACAACCATCATCACCATCATCATCAACATCATCAACCATTACCATCACCATCATCATGATTGATAAAAAGTTGCTAAAAGTAAAAATGGCTTGATAAATACTAGAAAAGTTATCGATGATAATAGCAAAAGTTTAAGACTTCTGTAAGGAAACGAAGGTAAAAACAAGTTGTGATATTTATTTTTAGGTCAACGTACTCCACATTTTTATCTCTTCTAAATCTAGTCCAAGTGTTCCTTTTCTTTTCTACTTCTTAAATTGTTCCTGCTGTATATTTTATCCTGCATAGGCATAACAATTTTAAATATTTCATCTTGAATAGAAGTTGGAGCAAGTAGAGAAAATATAACATACATAAAATATGTATCCAAACTTATGTAGGTAGTGGAAAAAAAAGACATTTATCTATCTATAATTATTTCCATTTTCACTATAAACTTTATTTATTTTTCTATTTAATTTACTACTATTTTATATTTTTATTGTTTGTTGTTAGTTAAATAGTAATCGCTTGTACATTTTCCAGAGAAATTTTATGCGACGAGTGCACGTGGTTGGAAGTAATATACTTGGAGGAATGAAAGAAAGAAAGAAAGAAAGAAAGAAAAAGAGATCGAAAAAGAGAGAAAGAGAGAGAGAGAGAGAGAGAGGAAAAAGTATAATAAAAGTGCTTGAAATTACGATACATTTTGGATTTACGTGGCAGTGCAAGAGATAAGATAATGAGCAGTTATAGCGAGGATCTTATCTTGTAGTTGGACAATTCTGTGCTTGGTTCTCTGGGGAATATTATCCAGTAGTGAATACAAATATATTTATAAATGCAACATACTTAAACACTGTTAAATACTAACGAGATTGTACCTATATAATACGCAACAACATGAAATAACCGCCAACACTCAACTTCTAGAGTCGAATTTCGACTGCAGTTGTAATCCTACGTAGTCTCATATCGATTTCTCGTCTCCATCGTATTTGAATAGCCAATCGAACGATTCTAGTCGGGGTCGTATGCGATTAGTAGCGAGAACAACGTCGACACTGCAGTAACGAGGCCTTTCCGCTCGCTGAGTTGAGTCAGTATAACACGAAAACAAAGCTACTTTTCTCTCTCACTTGAGTTTTCTCTTTTTCACTCTGATTCTCATTCTCGCTGTTGCACGCTTCAATAATTAGCATTGCAAAGTGTGTAGGTATGCGTGCAGAAATAGTCGTAGATTGATCTAAAAAAGATGGACTTGAGAATCCAGTAGACGATATGGTTAAGTAAAATCGATACTTGGATTTTCTATCAAATTCCTCTAAGTACGTTTCAATAGAGAAACATTAAAGAGATATTATATGGAAGAATTTAATATGCATAATATTAAAAGCTCCTTTATCGTAGACTCAATTTTACACATTTTTGTCTAGATAAATCTAAGAGAAATTCCCTTAGTTATCTTGTTAGAATATGTGTTTTTCCAATCAGACACATGATTATATTGGAATCTATATTTTAATTTATAGTTTATTTTTGTTGTTGTTGAGAGAAGATGTTGCTTGGAGATGAAAAAAAATGTATTGATTTAAAACATGTCGAGAGATATTTATTAGCTGTTATTATGTTTTTCAATGATAATGAAGATATAAATTATTGCATGTTTGACCTATTTAATACATACTTTTACTAATTGATGTACTTATTTGATTACATAAATTGTTGTTAATTGATAATCGATATTAATATGTAACTGTTACATAGTGATAAGAGATTTTTAATCTGGTAGAGTTATTATGAGTTGGAAAAAATTGTTGGGTTCTAAAAGATCGCACTAGATTATTTTTTAAATTGTGTAAATCAAGATAGAGATCTAAATGTTAGTAAATAATTTATAAATTATGATTCAACATTTTTGCTCAGTAAATTTGATTTTAGATAGAAATTTATATCTTTTAAGTCAACATGATTTTTTCTATGGATAGAATTTTGATTAGGTTATCTGAAAAATTGATGTTTTCTTTCAAATGGTGATATTGATCATGGAGTTGATGATGAAATATTTTATTCATTTTGAGATTCAATTAGATATGTTTTAATTTGTTAGTATTCCAGAACAAATTTTCATTAACTAGTTTAGTGATGAATATTATATTAAATAAACAATAGTACAAATTAATTTATGATAAATTTGATGAGATTTACGTCTAGTAGCTATCTGACAGGTCGTCTATTAATCAAATTCATTGAATC